GCCCGTTTTCTGCAAGACTCAGTTGGACGTGTGTGAGCTTGTCCCTCTGGCCGATCTGGATCCTAGGCGGGAGCAGATCATGAACATTGAAGCTGTGATGCTAAGAGATCGACCGAGCCATTTGACCAACGCTTTTATTTGCGACGAGGAAGGCTTTTTGAGAGCGCTCTGGGTTACGCACGCTACTGCCGACAACCGCGGCCAGGGGCATTGCGCATTTGGGATTGATGTTGCTCTGGCAATGCCTGTTATCGAACGGCTCAAGAGCCGGCTGCCCATTTGTTTGCGCACTCTGAACGTGGAGTTTAGCAGCCTGAGCTATTTGAGTGCCAGTGTGTATGGCCTGAGCAGCCAGCGACTTCGAGAAATGGCCTTGGCAGTTCCTTACAAACGATCCGTCCTTGTCATACAAAAGGCGTCGGCTTTTACTGAGGACGAGGACACGCTAAAAGCTAACGACATTGTCCTGAAAGTTAACGACCAGTGGGTGGACAGCGTATCTAAAGTAGCAGCGTTCTTTGGCAACAGTCCGGTCAAGATTTTGGTTTGTCGCGCCGGCAAAGAACTGACGCTGCACCCACGCTTGCACAGCGTTAAGGACGCGCTTGTAAAACATGTCGTGTACTGGGCCGGCATGTGTATTGAAGATTGCAGCAGTGCGCCTGGCGGGCTGCCCAGCTGGCCCAATACCGGCGTGTACATTGTCAAAACCCGCACCGCCACGCCTTCGCAAAACATCATGTGGCCGCAAATGATTACGCATATTGACGACACTAAAATTTGCAGCATGGGCGATTTCCTTGCAGCGGTAAAAATGCTCAGCGTCGATACCAGCAAATTTGTCACAAAGCTGCTGGAAAGCAGCCTGGTCATGGCCGATCGCGTTCCAGGAGCCCTAGTGAAGATTCGCACTGTAAACAGGGAAGGCGTGGTGCGAACATTTGTGATTGAAACCGACGACATTTACTACCCAGCATCGCAGCTAGTACTTTCTCAAGGCCCGCTGCCCTCATGGGTCTTGACAGATGTGTAAATAAGGAGAATCAAGTATATACTAGTATATTTGTATATAGGTATCTTGCACAAAAGTGTTCTATGCAATATTCAGCACGTCGTGAATGGGCTCAAACTGGTGAGCAAAGTTGAAGGTGACAGGAAAACTGTCTGCAATGTCTAGGGGCATGATGGCCGCTACAAGTGCAACAAAGGTTGAGCAAACGAGGTATAGCCTGTACATGTCGAAGCAATATGTAGAGTTGGGGTCTTTGAGTGAGAATGCGAGTGTAGGAGTCTTGCCGTGCCCTGTATTGCGTTTCAATTTATATGAGTTAAAGCAAAAAACACGTTATGATATATCTTGCCTGTGAATGTTTAGTAGATTCATCGCGAGTGATGGTGGACGAACAATTGACGGCACAAGAAGCACCAAGCAGTATCAGTTAAATGTGCAAATCAATATTAACCATTTAATTAACAATATTATAAATCATAGCAAAAATGTAAAATCATACAGCTGATATTGGCTTGAAAAGATTGCGCCAATGGTCTAGCGGTAGTGATCCTCGCTTCCCAAGCGAGGGGCCCGGGTTCGACTCCCGGTTGGCGCATATTATTTCCTTTTTTGCGCAATGCCTTTGCCCTTGGCCATCTTTTTTATGGCTGTTCAATGGCCGCGAATGTAGCTCTTGGCATCTTTGCGAGGCTGTGTAAATAACATTATTTTCATTATTGTGAGCGTGTTTTGCCCATTCGCTGCTCCGTACTACTTTCCCTGCGTATTTGTAAATACGGCCTTTGGCCCAGTGTATTTTTAGAAACTGCCTGTGAACAATAGCGAGCCAGACGAAAGACCGAATAGAGACAAAGAGGCTGCAAGAGGTAGGAAATGTATTTGTTTGTACAATGGCTATGATGACAAAGAGCTAGCTGCCGCACTGCGGGGAAGGCGATTCACCAAAACTCGTCGTCAGAGCTAGGCGTGCTCTTCTTGGAGGACACGCGGGAGCGCCGCACTCTGCGACGGCGAATGTTGTTGATGGCGTCCTCATCATGTTGCAAAAAGCTAGCGTGCGCAAACACAGTCCAGGTGTTTTTGCAAGGGTCGTAGCGCGACCGGCGGGCGTCGCTAAGGCGCTTAAAGCCGTAGTCATTAAAGTTTTTGTTTAGCGAGGCCAGGTCCTGCGCCTTGAAGCCAAGAACATGCAGTTCGTTCATAAGACGGGTTGGGTCGTTGTAGCGGAGCTTCGTACCGTCTTTGCTCCATTCAATCCACGAGTGACCCTCGCCCAAGATTTTGTACAAGGCCTGCGGGAACGAGGAGTGGGGCTGTTCGGTGTTGACAAGACGCCAAATGTCCATGGCAAAAGGGCTGGTTGCAAAGTGTGATACAAGAGATGCAAAGTGAATAGGTGAGGAGCGCAAAGTGGAGCCTCTGGAGGGAGAGCGAGACGGCGCATTTAAGGCCTGAGCAGCAGCGACTGCGCACAAATAATGTGCCAAAAGAAAGGCATGGCCGCAATAGCCGAGCAGTAGCCCAAAAAGGAGACCGGCTGTACTTCAGGGGCCAGGCGGCCAAAAGAAAAGGGCACAATGTGCAAGAGCGAATGATTCACCCCGCCAAAGCCAAATAGAGCAACTCAAATAACAAATGCAAAAAGGCCATTTTTGGCACGCGTGTTCCGAGAAGTTGCAATCATGCGCCGGTCTTTGGGCATTGTTCCTTGGCCCACACGCACTCACGAAGCGGCACGCCACCCAAGCTGGCCCGCTGCAGCTGCTTCCCGGCATCCTCCACTCCCGCTGTTATTGTATCTTACCAGCCATTGTTCTTTTGCCGTCGAGTGTGCCGCCTGGCCTTGCGGCCCGTTGCCAACTGACGCTGCCCAGCACTCGCGGCCTTGCGGCTGCTGCAGCTGCCACCCGCGTGCTCCTGAGTAGCCTGCATAGCCGATCGCCAACGTGCATTTCGCAGTGAGGCTGCGCACGCCAAGCAATTAGAAGGCTGTGGCTTGTTCTGAATGGCCTGGCGTTCTCTTCTATAATGCCAGTTATTGTATGAATGCTAAAAAGAAGAAACACTTATATAACCAACTCGCGCAACATGAACTCTTTAGTCGTACGATTCATATACAATGCTATTCTCTCTATCAACCACTCAAGAGGGTCCTCGTCACTGTGATATGTTGACGTGCAAGCGCTAATCACTGGGAGGCTGTTCTCAAATTCGGGCTTGACGTTAACTATGATTGCGCACTTTACGTACAATACAAACGGCTCGGTTAGTATTCCAAAGAGCTTTGTGGCGTCTTGCTCGCTGTTGGCAATCATCAGCAGATTATGCGGATTGGATTTATTGAAATCAAAATAGTGGGCAATGCTTGGCAGTAGTTTAAACTGCTTGCCGGCGGCAAACATGTTGATTGGTATACCCATTAGTGCAGCAAAATAGTATAAATGGTAATAGAACAGCGCAGGTGATAGCAACTGAGCAAGGACAAAGGCAAAAAGTAGGCTGTCAGGCGTTTGAGCCTTTAAGCAAAATGGTGTCAGAAGATCCGCCGCATTCTCCAACCGAGGTGTAAGCATATTCTAAAATTATTGATATAGAAGATTGAGCCCTCGTTGACTGGATCTGCTAGCACATGATGTGTGAAGGCATGTCGCGAAAGCACATGGCGTTGCTCTCGGCTTCCAGTCAAGACATCCTTCTTTTTATCCGCCTTTGGCCATGAAGCAAGCGGTTGACTGGATGGGGCAGTCAAAGAAATGGCAATGCTGCCCATTTCTTCAGTGAACCTCAACAGAAAACAGCACTAGCAGGCACAAGGTTATAATGAAAAAGATACATGTGCTTCAGTCCGATATGTATTTGTTGGGCAGCCTTTATGAGAGTATATAATATTTCCTTTTGGACGTCTTTAGTTATTTTTCGATAATTTTTTCATTAGTATACACTGCAATGTCGCCTGTCCCCACATACGACAATATACCAACGGCACTTACTTCTAATACCAACAATAGTTCCTATTTTGTAGACATTGTAAAGAACCCAAGCGACAAAGATGGCCAGAAATGCCCATTTTCAGCTAACGACACAGTGGAGTGCATACTGGCTAAGATTGCAGCCATTGGCAACTATGGACAAAGTTCATTCAGGTTGTATTACTTGCTGAGCAATGTTGGTGCTGTAGACATTACAAACAACACAGGTACTTTATCGTCTATATTTGGCAACTGCAGTTTCCCCAAGGTCCAAGTAACGAAGATGTAGGAAAGTCATTAAAAGGTCGCATGCTGTTGGTGCTGGTAACGCCCTCGGTTATAGCCTAGAAGCCAAGCCAGTTTTTATATAGCAAGCAGAAATTCACATTAAATCCAACAACTATCAACATATTAATAAATTAAAACGAGCAAGAGCAAGAACAATGACTTTAGCGTTCACAAATGTGCCAATCGGCCACTAAAATCCTTCAGTCGCAAGAGCTCACGTGTATCTTTCTCATCACGTGTACATTGAATACATCATGATGTAAGCGTTGACTGGGTTGGAAACCTAGAGCCATTGTAGAAACAACGAAGTGTTGCTTGCTCACAGTCAACAGCGCTTCCTGTCTCCAAAAAAGTGTTCTGTTTGCACTCTCTTTTGTCCCTTATAAAGAAACAAGCCGCCCGGCGCTGTTACTCCTTTTTTCAGCACACCACCACACATTGCATAGTCCTATTGGCTTTACACTTGATTTCAAGGATATATTACAAGAGTATGTCACTAACAAACAACGGATACTTTAATGTTACGTTAATAAGAAAAGGTAGTACGGCAAAAGCACAATGCTCGCTTTTGCCAACCGACCCAGTAAAGGATATTGTTGACAATGCAAGTGAGGCATTCAATTTAATAAAAACATCAATTAAGCTTACATACATGATAGATGGGACGATATTAGATATTGCCAAATCAGAGAAGGTAGCCTCAAGCGTCTTCAGCAACAATTATGCCCCTATAGTGACCGTCGAAGGTATAGTTAACCCGAGCATTTAGCCATCATCCTGTAGCTTGTGCATTTCTTTGTAGGGGCGCTATTGAAATTCCTTGATTGTTTCGGACTCTGTGGCTTGCGGTAGGACTCTTGCACTATATACGACGTACACTATTA